TTCAGGAGCTACTTAACGGGCAAGCTCTGTGGAAATAACTCATTTAGTGCTTATGTCCCGTGCATACGGTACGTATTTGTATTACACATACTAGAATATTGTGCACCCCGCTCATTGCACTGACTCTGTACTAATAAATGACCTTAAAATTGTGCATCCCGTGCATAACCCGTGTTCAAATTTTGGTCAATTACAGGTCACGTACTATATATATCCCGTATATTTTTCTTTATTCATTTATATAATTATAAGACTTGATAAATGACCTTAATTTTGTGCACCCGTGTATCGCACGGAATCTGTACTAGTAAAGATAAATATGTATAAAAGGAGAATGTAACTAGATGAATATATAATTAAGCTTAAAGAAAGAGAGATAATAAATGATAAAGACAACCAAAAAAAGGGCCGGATAGAAAATAAAAAAATTGAACTCATGGGAAAATGTGCTAAATTGGAGAGAAGATGAACAATAAATACTTGAATAAATAATTCTGACTCTCCACCTTTTTTAAGTCATGGAAATAAACGAAAGCAATATATAACACTAGTTTACATATGGGTCGGTGCCCTTCCTATGAATTGGGTCCTGGGCCGTTGCCCAGGTCGTCCTGGGCCAGGGTCGGCCCTGGTTGGGACGGAGTATTACTTAGACCATCTTTATTTGTGACTCAATGTATTAGGTCACCCGCTAGAAGACAAAAAATAAAAAATAAAAAATAATCTTAGTTGGACGCTCCTGATGCAATAGGACTTCTCCTAATGTTTGTTTTATAGTATTGCTCGAAATCTTGTCAAAAAAAAAAAAAAAAAAAGGTCCAAATTCAGTTAGTGGGTGGCTTGGTCAGGTTCGTGCTCAGCTGGCAACAGTGCATCCAGCCAGGTATCGATTTGTCTCCGAACATCCACACGCGTTAGAGGAGTCGATAAAAATCCTCCGTATACTCATCAACCGAATGTTACCTTGTCTTAAATTGTGGAATTGCTGATAAATCAATCGACCATAATTAAAAGGCAAAAATTCACGTTCTAAGTGTTTACGGAATTTTGTTCAAGTCGAGATCTTTGATTTGCCCTGACGGTGCCGCGTGCTTTTGAGTTGCATCCTCCAAGAGGTCGCTCGCCCGCAAAGCCTCGTCGTGAGTGCGACTCGCCTATCATCTAGGACATCCTTGAACTCGAGCACTGACTTGACCGAGGCCCACCAATCAAGAAATTCCGCCGCATCAAGCCCGACGAAGAACACGAGAATCTCGACCCAAAAGCCTAATTCTCAGCTTATTTGTTTGTCTGATGTATTAGTGAATAGAAAACAAGACAAAGACAATATCGATGATCAATTTTCCATTTATAATATTTTCATTGTATTCGCTAGTAATTTAATATTTGTAGTCTTTGTATGTGTATTTTATACATAAAAATCAGGTTGCTTTACATTTTTTAAGATTTGTAGTCTGTTACATATTATCAATTTTTCTATGGAGTTATCGGATGACTTGACTTATGGAGTCATTTACAGTTATTCACAAATAATATATTGACATTTGTCTTACAATATATACACTTTGAACAGGTGTCAATATATTAAGGATGGATGGTTCCATAAAAAAATCATCTGATAGCTCCATAAAATTTATGTACATACTATATGTTTATGAAAGGATACAAATTAAAGTATTTTATTTCATTTGTAATACCTAAGCAACACTTCGAAGTTAAACGATGGAGCCTATGCCAATTAGAACACACGTTAATCTAGGAAACTGGGAACTGGTGCTTAAGGATGGGGAATTTCCCTTGGCATGATCTAATGAATGCAGTACAAATGTCAAACATACCCGATTTGGTATCATAATTCATATGAGAACTAACTAGTACGTAACCCCGTGCGATGCACGGACAATATTTATTTTGGTAAAGGTTATAAATTAAAGGTTATTAATCAATAAGTAATACGCAGAGCATTTGTCAAGTAATCATAAAAAAATTGTCATGAAAAAGTCATTCATTATTAAAAACTTCCTTATACACAACATTATTAGTTTGATTGTCGGGCAACTCATCGTCCTCACAAATTAATACTTTCAACCTCTTCATATTAGTTACACACAAAACAACTGTATATAACTGGCCATGACTAAATATCGATTTTTTTAAGAGCATATACGACCCTGACTCTTGTTTATGGTCATGGTATACAAAATCAAAAGGGGGAACTACCTACGCTGGAACGTAAACGAACCCTAACATCGGAAGGTATCATATTCATTCGAGGAATCAACACATTCTCACCTTCATGATCTCCAGTCAATATCTTACATTCAAGCACATGAGTAGAGAACTTGGTAACAATCAAGCGTTTTCCATTGCACAGTCCCATAGAATAGTCCACGTTCCTTAATAACATGATTGGAGTTCCAATTTTCAAATGCAATTCATGGTTCGGTGTTCCTGAAAACTTGATGCTATTCAAGAACTCAAAAGTGTGAAGATTTTGTCCAAAACAAAAAGGTCATTATTCGAGTGGGACTTCCACATAATGTTAGAGCTCAAATACATACGATCTTCGTCAGAATTCATCTCCGACATGTATTAATTGATAGAGTCAACGACCTCCATAGTAGGCGCTAATAAAGCAGTATCATTCATATATCTTGAATTGTCAGTTGTATTCTTGAACATTGGATAGGTATTTTTCACGATTGTAGCAGTTGGATCATCGAAGGGTTCCAGTCTTGTAACATCTATAGTGTTATTGTAGGTACAACCATCGTTTGATCCTCCTATAGGCCCATCTTTGATGCTAACAATCCAATCAGTAAACGTTATTACCTTGAAATATTCTGAAGACGTATGTTTTTTTGAAAGTCGCAACATAGTACAATCCCTCCAAATGGTGGAAGCATTAATAGTTGCATTCACAATATCCTTACAACTCCCCTTTGAAATGACTGGAAGTATTTGTCAGAAGTCTCCACAAAAAAATAACGAAATGAAAGTGAAAAAATAAAAGAAACAATAAACAATATTATACCTCAATATTATGAAAAATAATTTATATGATGTTATGATAAGAATTAGGAAATTTACTCTCAAACATGCGAACCACTCGAAGTTGCAACATAACTCTCTTTTCTCGTTCAACATCCTCGATAAGACCGAATGGTTGATCTATTTTTTGTTTGGCACTTACTTGGATTCACTAATTACTCGTATGTTCGTCAATGGTGATTTTTTTGTGTGTGGTTGATATGATACTTATAAGCATATTAATCGTTTTAACAACAAATAATATGAAAATAAAATTACATTGAACGCTAATGATGATTTTTATTCATATTGTATATTTTTTTCACGTGAATGTTAATTGTGTATCATCAAAATTGTGTATTTTTTTCACGCGCTGTTTATTATGTTCTTTATTGAAAAGACTGAGAATGTTGTAGTTGTTTTATATTGCACTTTTATATCTTATTTTTATATTAAAAAAAAAACTATAAAATTTCAAATTGTAATTATAACATGTCTAGTACCATTGAACGCTAATGGTGATTTTTATTCATATTTTATATTTTTTTCACGTGAATGCTAATTGTGTATCATTAAAATTGTGTATTTTTTTCACGCGTTGTTTATTACGTTTTTTATTGGAAAGACTGAGAATGTTGTAGTTGTTTATATTGCACTTTTATATCTTATTTTTATAAAAAAATATATACAATTTCAAATTGTGAATATAGATTTCTAATACCATTGATGATTTAAAGTTTGTTTGCAAATAAAAATAAAAAATATATATTGCCCATTTGTAAACTGTGATTTCAATTTTTAATCAAATATTAATCAAATCTGATAGATAGAAAAAATTAAATTCAACAAAATTCTTTTCATACAAACCGTGATTTTATAAAATGATTTGATAAAACGAATATTATTATTAATAAGTAATATTATAAAATCTGATAGATATAACAAATATTAGTCGAGAAAATCATTTTCATAAAAACCGAGATTTTATGAAAAGGTTTGATTTTAAGTTAATTAAAAACGTATACAACACCAAAGGATCCAAGAATCTAAATAAAAATGATTTGACAATATCACTGATTTTTTAAAATATGTTGATATGAAGATAAAATACCTAACATCTACCATAAAAAGTGGATCATGATAAATTAAAATAATTTGAGTGTAAATAAATTGGTATGTACTACCTCCTGTTCATTATAAATGTCGTTTTGACTTTTGTGGTTCATCCATTTTGTTATGTATCTAGCCATTTTGTTATGTATCTAGACATATTAATGTCTAGATACATAACAAAATGGATGAATCAAAAAAGTCAAAACGACATTTATAATGAATATGAGGGAGTATAAAATTAATGGCTTTCTAAAAATGAATTATGTTAGTCCTTATTATATAATAGATGATATATTATGGACGTTCGATGTGATATGTCGTCATTGAATGATATATTATGGACGTTCGATGTGATATGTCGTCATTGCGCATAAACCGTTAGGACGCTATTGTCCATTTTAACTGTTATGAATTTTGTAGTACTGTCATCGGTAATTTTGATCTTTTGTTGCAATTTTCTAATTTCGTAAAAATACAACGATATTTTTTATGTGCATATCCTCACGTGCCACTAATATTGCTTCACAGTTCACTCAAACTTCATACCGTCAGAGGGTTTAAAAACTAGCTCGACTGGGGTGCTAGAGATCGGTAGCAAGTAGTTTATGAGGATCACACAACTCTGAATTAAGGTACAAAATACACATCTTGACAAGGAATCAACCGCAAAAGAAAATGCAAAAGCTCATCTCAAAATGTACTTTAAATGAGTTCCGGTTCATAATAAGACGCAGGTACATGTTCTCAAAAATGTCTAAAATAAATTTGTCATTGAAGTAGAATTTAGAAGAAAACTTCACAATCTGCTTCACACACACGAGACGTACAGTCATAATGGATTGGACACGCTCAACATTTCATTTCTTAGCAAACAGCTTCTTTGGGAGCATCTCCAAAGGTGTGGTTTTGAGAAGAAAGAGCCTGGCTGCCCGTTCTTGCAATGTACCCCCACATTTCAACCCTCTCACTTGAAGTTCCGTCTTCAGCCGCTCCATGCCGAGAACCTAACACATAATTGTATATGTTTATACTCGCAGATGGTTAATAACCGGTGACCGACAAACTCTTACAATGCAAGAAACGATACAAGATTTTAATAGCTACAGTTAACTTCTGGCTTAATATCAAAGAACTAAAGGTATACCCTACACCTTGAAAGTCATATGGAGAACGCCCTAATCTTGTATCTACATAGATAACCCGTAAGTTTTGAATCACATGATTTGTAAAGAAGTTACAAAAAGACTACGACCTTCAGTAATTCTGAAGGAAAATTGGAGTTTCTCCACTATCCAGATAAGGAAAGCTATATGTCAAAGTCATTTTTTAATCATATCCTAAATGAAGTGATTAACTAGGAAAAGGCTAAAAGCTAAGCCTTCTGCATCAATTAGAGTGAGCAATAAAAGTCATCACCAAGACACAAATGTACCTCTAACTCAGCAGCTGAGTGATATTCATCAAAATTCAAGGGCTTGTCGATGTCTCCAACTTCGACACTCACAGGCACTGCTTCCACCTGAACTGGTTCGGTTATGGTACTATTGCTCACTTTTGCAGCAGAAAGAACATCCTCATTTGAACCAGAGCCACCAGGTAGCAGACCATCATTTCTTTCTTGACGAGATTCATTGTGAGTATCATCAGGCAACCTGTTATCAGTGCCACCATCATCATCATGTACGTAAACCTCGGTATTTTTATCCTGTTCAAAAAATTCTTCACCAAGTGGACCAATGGTGGTTTCTTCTTCCTCAGAGCCACTTTGAGACAAGTCCTGATAAGGTTTTCCATCACTAACTGAACCTGAACTTTGGTCACCTTTTTTGATAGAATCAGAATGATTTGCAGTATCTATGATAACAGATTTTTCATCTTCTCCTTTGTCTTCTTCGTCGCTATCATCTTCACTGTCACTCTCACCCACCTTTCTCTTACCATACCTTGAAAAGAAAACGAAAGACAACCACTCATCATACGGAAATGCATTAAATTGTAATATATTGTGTTTATGATTGAGAAGCATCTTGGACCAAAAGAATATAAATACACAAACCAGCAGTCAATGAAAAACAAAAAGCTCCTGCCTTTACAAACAAACATTATGCTCCTGAACCATATTTTTCACAGCACAAACAAACAACCGCAACTGACACACCAGACTTGGTCTTAGTTATCACAACAATTTCATCAAAATCATTATGCTATACAGGAAAATCACAACTGCAATACCCAATTTTTTCTTTTTCCTTTCAATGATCAACATAAAAACTTTCAAAGCCTCGTAACACATAATTCACCACAACATTTCAAAAAAAAAAAATAAATAAAAAATAAAAAAAATCACGTATTCACGTACCATATCTTCAACCTCTTGGAAGAATCTGGTCCGCTGCCCTCCGCGCCTCCCTTCCTTTTCGAGCTAACCAACCCCTTGACGGACTCTCTAACCGACCTCTCAACCTCCTCCATACACTTAGCAGAATCCTCTCTGTACTTGGCCACATACTTATCCGTGCTACTGCCCCCACCGCCCTTTCCGCCCTTCATGGCCTCCTTCGTCTTCTTCTTAATGAACTCCTCCGCCATCTTCTCCAGCTTCCTCTCCTCGGCCTCCGCCCTCCACTCCTCAAGCTTCTTCTCCGCGTTCACGTGCCTCAGTCTCCGCCCGCTCATATCCCTGCAAGCATCGAAATTGTTGGTCTTCTTCTGCCCGGCCTTGGTCGCCGCCCCTCTCAGCAACGACCCGAAGCCTCCTTTCCCTCCCCTGAGCCTGAGCAGAAGGTTCACACTCAACGGGAAATTCCCCGAATCCCTAACACCGCGATCTAGGGTTTCCGGCAAGCGGAAATTCTCGCGCGATCGATCGAGGTTTAGGGTTTGGTGATCGCGAAGGACCCGGGAGCCATCGATTAGTAGGAGATGGAGGTCGGAAGGTATGGAGGTCAGCGTCTGAATACGGCGTTTCAGCGCCGCGACGGAGATCGAAGGGGCTGCGAAATTCAAAATCCGGTGCTTCCCGTCGAGCAATTTCACGAGAACCTGGTGAATTTCAGATTTTTGAGCTTCCATGGACACAATTCTCAAGCTTTTAGATGAAAAGGCACTGCAAATTGTTGGTTTTTTTTTCCTTGGAAGTTAAACGAAAAGGAGAAATTGAAGATGGCGATCCGATTCCGATCCTTCTGTGTAGATGACAATTGAAAACTAAAAAGGCTGAAAAAATCGTTTGGGCTCGCTTGTTGGGCCGGACTACATAGTTAACAACCCGGCAATTTTTAAGTGATGATAGGATATAAAAGAATTTGGATTCATTGTATTTCTTTATTCGGTTTGTTTAGTTTTGAAAAAATGTGGTATTGTTAGCTGTTGTGGTACATTAAAATAATATTTAAAATAAAATAACTAGAGATAATTTGATGTAAAAGTATGAGAGAGATAATTGAAGTGGTGGTTAGTTAAAATTACACGAGTAAATGAATAGTGAATTAAAATTGATGTGGTGTATTAGAATAACTGATTGATATTATTTAATTATAATGATAATATTGATGATAGTCGAGTTGAGTTGAGTTTAAAAGAATTGGATGAGTTAAATATTTTTTTAGAAGATTTGTATAGAGGTATTTTTCCGGATTTTTAAGTTCAATTGAAAATAGATTTTTTTATTTACTTGTAAAACACCCTGAATAACATGGGTGTTAATTAAAATAATTATATTAAATTTTCAAAAAATACAAAAAAAAAAAATGTAT